CACCTGATAGCTGCGACAGTCAGCATAAAATGCAATCTCCTATTGCTCTTCCACATTTTAGCTCCAGAGCTAACAGGACAGGCAGTAGGATCTATTTAGCAGTTTTATCCATTTGAATTCCTCACATCATTTCCATCTGGCCACCATCTTATTCCATTAGAACTCTGTTACGTGGATAGCAGTGAATTATTCAAATACGTTACAGGCAAAAAGTAATGTTACAATTCAAAGTCTTGTTTTGATTAAAACTTATCGATTACCAATCGATATCGATTAACAATTTTACGTACTATTCTCATAGACAATGAAGACGACAGAATTTTTCACAGGGAAAGGTCACTGTTGGATAATGTCATGATCCATGATCAGACCTAAAAGGTGAAAACGATTCTTGTACAGTAAACGAGAAATTAATTCCATGGTCTTCATGGTTCATAGCGGTTTATTTTATTATATAGAGTACCGACGTTTTGAGCCACACTCGGCAGGTTCTTGTCAAAACAGAAGCCATTAAATCTGGTTATGGAGAGTAGTGCGGTATATCTTGTGTATATAACGTCTAAAATAATACAATGCATCATATATAAATAACAGAGACAATAATCTTGGAGAAGCAAAACTGCAGTTGATCAATTTACATACTCCGGTGCGTATGTAGGTGACACTGTATAATGAGTATCAACTTCTGAAACATTCGCGATGAGCATGGTATTGTTGTGATGGGTAAATTAATAAAATGCACAGGTACTCATGTCATGGAACCATGTCTGGTAAAAGCCCCCTAGGAAATTAGTAACAATGATGGTGCAATAAGTCGTGAAATCAGCTCTTGGAAGAATTATGTGCCGATATTGGTAATTATATAATTTCGATAAATTACAGTTCCATAATTTATATATAATTTCACGTTGCGTGGAAGAATAATTATTTACAGCGTACTCTGAAGCATAGCATTATTAAACAATATTTCAGAGCGTGAAACTAAGTTCGCGTTGCAATGCAGTTATGCAGCAACTTCCTCGGTTGCGGCCAAAGCCTCTATAGTGAAGTCAGTACTTGACTGCATCGAAGTATACTGCAACATGATGTTTCAGTATACGTCTTTCCTTCAAGACAGATTTAACATGATCATCGATGCTGAAGAATTTGTATGTAATAAATTTGATGTTTTGTCATCTAGTAAAGGACTTGTCGAATTTTGGTACAAGAAAATACACAATTTTCAGAAAAGTCATGTTTCCGTCGTTCTTTACTTGGAACGTCCTCTTAAGACCTGAGAGAACTTGCATATCTTGTTGATTCCGCGGACAATATTACCAGCAGCGCTGTAGTTTACTCTGGTTTTTCAGCTGTCCGTTATATATAAATACATTCTGGATATCGGTAGGGCAAATGTGATTTATGGCACAGAAGAGCTAACGTCAGGGCTATATGACGAGTTGTACGAAAGAGAGGGTAAAATACAGTTGGTAAAATGTCAAACTTGCATTCGAAAAATTGTGGGTCCTCATCGAAATGGCGGGACTGGTTTTTCGTTCTTTTCAGGTCGATAAATGAGTGCGATTTGTGAAGGCAACGGAAAGCTATAGAATGGGGGGGGGGCAATGTCAGTGACTGTAAAAAAATCATGCACTCGTGATGGAGATTAGCAACTCATCACAAGCTTCGATGAAACAGGCTACTGGAAATCAAGGAAGTAGAAAAAGATGAACATTTAGAGAAAAAAAGAAACGTCATTAAATGAGTCAGGATTACGTAGAGTGTTCTGCCGTTAAGCTTCCGCATATTTCGTTTCATATCCTATCTAACTGTGTCTGTTTGTCCATCTAGGATACAACAATCAGACAAATAAGAAGACAACGTCGATTATCAGTACGGTACATAATTAATTAGTTGCAACTTGTATTAAGCAAAAAAGACAGACATTGATAACGGGGGAAAAAGGATGCCTTAGATGGTGATGATAACAAAACCGGCTTTGTTAGGATAGCCGACCAGACAGAGGATACCTGATTAGCTCATCATGCCAACCCATTACTGGCTAAATTATATTGTAATTTGATTTTTTACGATGATCGGCGATATACTACAAGAAATATGAAAGTCCTCTAAAAACCAGTCATGGTGAGGAAGAAGATAACCAAAGAATCATAAATGAAGAGTGGGTTATCGATGAAATGTTAGTTTAGTACTTGTACGCATTGAGTTTCACGTCATTCGTCAACGAGGCCACGAAAACGACGACTCGACACGACGACGTCAAGCGAAGCGAAATGATTGCTGGCAGATGGGCGGTGAACGAAGAGACTCGTATTTAAACAGGTGCGACATACCTGTTTAAAGATAACATCGCAACCAAATCTACCTCATTCATAACGCTTCGCAAAATCCTGATCTTGCTCATGATCCGATACTGCTGCCGTCGGTTTATTTCCTACAGTCCGTTGGTCTGTGTTCATCTACAACTCGGTTGGCCCAAATCAGGCATAAAAAACCGACGACTAAACTGAAAAAGAAACCGGTGTACGGCGCAGCGCCACTGACGCGCCATTTAACAACAAACACACTTGCATAGCGACTTTTGAAACGATGAATATGATCAATTTTCTGCGCCACCGATTCCCAACACAAATTACCAACCGATCTCAGGAGGGTGTAAAAAGAACTAGAAACGATTCAACTAGTAGATTCGACGTCTGGTTGTTGATTTGGCACAAAGACGTCACCGTCCGATCAATAAACGAAAACCCGGCTCGGTCGCCACATGACAAAAGATTCACAAGTAAGTAACATGATCGAAAATTATACAGGTTTTGGCCTAACCACTTATCACACTACGCAGAAGTACAGAAGGAAGCAAAAAAGGAAACTTCGTAACAGTTCAAAAAGAGGTCTTTGTTACAATTTCATAACAGCTACTTCTGGCACTCTTCTGTTTATGAAGCTAGTGGGCGGAAGCTGATCTCGATTTCCATTACATCAGTGATTAGAGCCTTATTTTAAATGCAGAGTAGACAGCAACTATGTGTCAAATATATTGTGTAATCTGCTGTTTGCTTCCCTTGGAAAGCCACTGATTTATCAACCTCATGGATGGAAAAAAGGCAAGAGATCTTGACCGGGCCTCGAAACAGGAACCTCTTGGTTCTGAGTCCAACACTCCACTGACTTAATTAAATAGCCCCAGTCAATCAACGATCGCTCTACACCACTATCAGTCTCATGACCAACGAATTTGCTCCCTTGTCGTAGTCAGTTGTGTTTTCGCGGTAATGGCGAGATAAGCATCGCTGATCTTTCGGCTGAGAGAAGTCTCTTAGTCAACAGTATAGTTTTCATCATCTAACGTTATATTTGTATTTTCATCACCTATATCTTTTCTTGTCTTTTACCAGCTTTTAACAAAATGAACACTTTAAGTTTCTTGTGTGCTGTCTGCCACTTGTTTTATCCTTCTTGTTTTCAAATAACATTCTCGGTACCTCCAGTCCTGATTTTTCAGCAAGTACGAAACTGTGGTGACTCTGTGTGATTGTGAAGCGGGGACAATGAATTACCACACCAGAAGAGGGAAACCAGATCCTTAGGCGAGATTTACCGAGTCTCTCTAACAGCTTTTCTAATAACCAGCTTTTCTAACACCCTCGCCGGAGTTATCGATCTTACAGATCGCCGTTTAGCAAATATAACAAAAAACAATTGAACTACGTACGTTGTCGTGTTTGAATGAGCAGAGCATCCGGATTTCGCGAAACACCCGTTTACATGACGCCAGGTTCAGAAACACGTTCGGCATCCGCTTCAACGCTACACGCTTGCCGGTGCGAGGGTCGGTGACAGACCTGAATATAAATGTCATCAGAAAATATAAATAAACATCAAAAGTAACAAATAAATAGGACATAAAAATGTGACAGTTAAGGTATAGCACTTCCAAAACCTGAAGGCTAACGTTTGCACTTACTAAGACACCAAATTCTGTGTTAATCTACGTCGCTGGTTTTCAACAGTACATTGCTCACATCTGGGTAAGAATGTTTTGAAAAAGATGACTGCTACCCTCTACATACAAAATGACATGCAGCACCGTTATAAATCTATGACGCACAGTAAGGAAAGTAAGCATTTGAATGAACAACCGTACTCGTTACAAGCAAAGTTTAGTAAGCAACTCAATCTACAATCATACTTAGATCACAACCTACTTGTCTGTGAGATTTCTCGGATTACAAACAAGCTACCATACTAAAAGCTACACTATATCCAATTGGGGTAGGGGTAATACATACATGATGACAGCTATTCTTCTGATTCTAGGTTTAGCAGTAAGATGATGCCTGAATTCATAACTGACCGAAACAAGAAAGATATACGAAATAACCGTGCTGGACACCGGTTATTCGAGATCGCTTTCCTACATCCGCCAAATCTGACTTTCGGAGAACTAACCACCAATGAATCAGAAAAAACAGTCTTCTTCAATCGGCCATGGCACGACATCGGAACAAGTTGTCGTAATTAACAATGACATTTATCTGCGTGTCATTCGAGTTATGCGACATCTCGCTTATCGTGCGATCTTTTCGAAATGACAGCCAAACGTCCACACAGATATCAGAGGCTTCGAAGTAGGATTCATTAAGCTTCATAAAATTTTTATTACAACGGAGTACAACAGAAACGCTAGGACCGGATTAGCACCGTTTACTAAAAAATATCATGTTCTCTGTCAAAACGGATACCAGTACGTCCTTAGTCGATCACTGGGCAATCCAACACAAATTTTGCTGGCTAAAGTTGTGGTAAGGGAGTAGTCGACAATTTAAAAACATTCACTTATCCCTTTCCGCAATTAACGGGATCGATCACCAGTGGCATATTTCAAAGGCCATGTTCGTCTCTCTCGTGCGACTTGTCGCTTAAAGATTCCATCAATCTTTCACCTCGTTTGAGGCCCTATCTGAGTCTTTCAAGTCTTTTAATTGGGGGGGGGGGCTAGCGACCATTTAGGTAACCATCAGTCACTGCAAAACTTCATTAGTGATCCGCCAGTTGTGCGATGCAGTCGACTCGACCTCATTTAGGGGAATGTAATCATTTTTTGTGCTTCCTGTTCCATTCGATTTTAGCAAATAACTTTTGCTACGTTGATTTTTGCAAGGCGTCTTGCGCAGAACAACCGTTTTCCCTTAACCTTGTTCGACTACGATTGGTTTCGGGTGAAGGCTCGGTGAAACTCGGCTCGCTAGGAGTTCTCCTCGGTAAGCTCGGTCACAGGTGCCTTCTTCCGGCGGTTTCTCAGGAGTAAACACCTAACGTAATTCTCGCTGCCATGTGATCCTGTGCTTTGGTAGTTGCCCACTCTCTCAGTCTCATCCAAGTGAGAACGTAATTTCCTCGGCAGATTCTCATGT